GGGGCCGTCAGGGGGGCCCCCAAGGGGGCCCTCAGGGGGCCCCCCCGAGGGTCTTTTTTGGGTAACACGAAACTCGAAAAGAGTGCCCTGAAATAAAAAAGAATAAACAAAAGATTATTATTTATTTATTTATTTATTTATTTATTTATTAATTTGTTTGTTTGTTTGTTTGCTTGTTTATTTATTTATTTATTTGTTTATTTATTATTTTGTTTACTTGTAAATATTTGTTTTGCTTTCATACAAACATATATATTCAAAGACAAATAGTAGAAAAAAAATGAATGAAATATGGAGGAATCTAGATAAAATAAAAACTAAGTAAAAATAAAATGGAAATAAAACGTAATTAAATGTAAATTAATTATAAATAAATTATGAAAAGTATATATGCAATATTTACGTTAAGACAAAACGGCAAATTAATCATAGATAAACAAAGGGATAAATAATCAAAAGAATAAATAAATAAATAATAAATGAATAATAACTGAATAGTAAATAAACTAAAAGGAAATAAATAAATAAGTAAATAGTATGAAAATAAATAATTGATAAATAAATAAATAAATGAATTTGGTGTCTCCTGCCGCTGCATGCAGCCCAAAGATGCAGTCCTACGTGCATCTGCAGGGAGACAGCAGCAGCAGCAGCAGCAGCAACAGCAGCAGCAGAAGCAGCAACAGCAGCAACAGCAGCAGCAGCAGCAACGCACCTTAGGGCTGATGCAGCGGTACCAAAAGCCTCCAGTAATGTCCGGCTGCAGCAGCAGTAGCAGCAGCAACCACAGCAGCAGCAGCAGCAGCAGCAACCACAGCAGCGGCAGCAGCAGCAGCAACCACAGCAGCGGCAGCAGCAGCAGCAACCACAGCAGCAGCAGCAGCAGATTAATAAAACGTAGGGATAAGGGAGAAGACAATTATTAGAAAAGGAGATAAATGAAAAAGGAGACAAAAAAATGAATAAAAAAGAAGCTAAAAGATAAAAATAAAGAATTAAAAAAATAGAACAAACTTTAAATGAAACAAAAAGATGAATTTAGAGAACAATTTTAATCATTTTAATTTACTTCAATCCATTTAATCAATTTGTTTTAATTTATTTAACTAATTGAATCAATTGAATTCAATTAATTTAATTCAATCAATTCAATTAATTTAATTTAATTTAATTAATTCAATTTAATTAATTCAATTTAATTGATTTAATCTAATTAGTTTAATTAATTATTTTATTTTATTTTATTTTATTTTATTTTTAATTTCAAACCTCCATATAAAGAAGTCGGCGGTTTGGCAAATAACAAAACCGGCAAAGCAAAACTTCGTCTCCAGTAAATCTGAAATTAAAAAATAAAATTAAAATTAAATTAAAATAAAAATAAACAAAATAAATGAAAAAACGAAAACAAAAAAGAAAATAAAGACACAAACGGAATAGAAAGAAGCAAAAGAAATAAAAAGATAAAAGAAATAACAGAAATAAAAGAAATAAAAGAAATACAAAAATAAGAGAAGTAAAGAAATAAGAGGGATAGAAAGAAATAAAAGAAATAAAAGAAATAAAGAAATAAAAGGAAAAAAATAGGAGAAATAAAAAGATACAGGAAATAACAGAAAAAAAAGAAATAAAGGAGTAGAAAGAAATGAAAGAATTGGAAAAAATAAAAGAAATAAAAGAAATAAGGAAAAAAAGAACTAAGAAAATAAAGGAAATAAAACTATAAAAGAAATAGAAGAAGTAAAAGAAGTAAAAAGATAAAAGAAATAAAGGAGATATAAAATTAAAAGAAATAAAAAAATAAAATAAATTAAATGAAGAAATTGAAAAGATAAGGAGAGAGTGAAAGATGAAAAGGGAAAAGGAGACAAAAAGAAATTAAAAGAAATAAACAATAAAAACAAAAACAACCAAAAGGAGACAAATGAAATAATATAAAATAAACAAAAGACAAAAGGAGACAAAAAAGAGACAAAAACGAAGACAAAAAAGCGGCGAAAACAGAAAGACGAAAAAGACAAAAAGGAGAAAAAAAGAAACAAAAAAGAAGCAAAAAGAGAGACAAAAAGGAGACAAAAAGAAGACAAGAAGGAGACAAAAAGGAGACAAAAAGAGACAAAAAAGGAGCAAAAAAGAGATAAAAAGAAAAGGCAAAAAAGAATTTAAAAGGAGGCAAAAAAGAATCAAAGAAGAGACAAAAAAGAATTAAAAAGGAGAAACAGAAAAGAACCAAAACGGGACAAAAAGGAGACAAAAAAGAAGCAAAAAAGAGACAAAAAGAATGAAAAAAGAATTCAAAAAGAATTAAAAAAGAGACAAAAAAGAGACAAAACAGAGATAAAAAAGAATCAAAAAGCAGAGAAAAAGGGACTAAAAAAGAACGAAAAAAGAATTAAAAAAAAATTAAAAATGAATTAAAAAAAGAAATTGGTTTACCCTCCTTGGCCCAACTGGGCAAAAATAAAAAACATAATTTTACTTTTGAAATCCGCCAAAGGCTCCAGAGGAAATAAAGCAGCAAACAGCGCCCGCTGCAAACACTCCGGGAACCTGCAGCAGCAAACCCTAAACCCTAAACCCTAAACCCTTAACCCTAATCCCTAAACCCTAGACACTAAACCCTCGAGTTTTGAGCCTGAGGAGGCCCGCAAAATTGGCAAGAGAAGCTTCAGATGTTTTAGAAACTTGCTGAGGTGTGCTCTAGGTCTTAAACCCTTAACCCTAAACCCTAAACCCTAAACCCTAAACCCAAGACCCTAAGCCCTCAGTCCAGCAACAGTTTAAAGTTTGCAACCCGCGGTTAAAGCCCAAACCCTAAACCCTAAACCCTAAACCCTTGACCCTAGCCCCTAAAGCCAGCGAGGCAGCCACCGCTGCTTCGAGGAGGCCTCCTGCGTCCAAACCCTAAACCCTAAAACCCTAAACCCTAATCCCTAAACCCTAATCTCTAAACCCCAAACCCTAAACCCTAAACCCTAAACCCTACGCGGGGTGTTTGGCGCCCTTTTGCTGGGCCCTGAGGAGGAGAAAGGGAAGGGTTTCTCTGATGTCTCCGTCTGTGAATGTGTAAAAAGAAGATTGTTTTTTGTCTTTGGGAAAAAGTGTCTCCGTTTTGTCTTTTTTAAACTCCTGCAGCAGCTGCTGCTGATAAAAAACCCAACGCGGACACATTTGCTGCTCCTCCACGTCCAGCGGCTGCATGTACACCCCCCGCTCCCTGCAGCAGCAGCAGCAGCAGCAGCAGCAGCGGTGCTTTCGGTGTTTCTTTGGGGTGGAGGTACAGCAGCTACTGCAGCAGCAACGGGAGCAGCAGGAACACCAGCAGCTGCAGCAGCAGCGGTAGCAGCAGCAATAGCAGTAAAAGCAACAGCAGCAGCAGCAGCAGCAGATTGCTGCCTCGTTTCTGTTTTTGTGATATTTTCTCTAAGTTTGTGTCCCCTGCACTTCTGCATCTTTGCTGCTTCATTACATTTAATTGGTTATTTATTCTGCGTCTTTTGCTGCTGCAGTAGCTGCAGCACCTCCTGCTGCTGCTGCTGCGCAGCAGCAGCAGCAGCAGCGTGGGGGCTATTGTGTCTCTGTTTCTCTCGTTTTTTATTTTTTTTCCTTTAGTGCTTTAGAAGCAAAGAGGGCCTAATAAAGTGTCTCCTTTTTGTTTCCTTTTGTCTCTTTTTGTTTCTTTTAAACTCACATTTGACTAAATACCTTTTGCTGCCAGCCCACAACAAACTTCTCTTCCTTCCAACACCCCCCAGCTGTCTCTACACCTAAACACTCATCTAAGAGGCCTTGGGGGGCCCCCCAGTACCCTTGGGGGGCCCCCCAGTACGCCTGGGGGCCCCCCAAGTCTTCCT